GTAAAGCCCATATATACGTAGGCCAGTGGGGTGATTTAAAGATAACCTGTCCTTTACTCTCTCCCCACACTTTCCCAGCAGTATATACTTACCTTTCCATCACTTTTCCATTGTTCCATTCAATGTCGGTGGTGAAAGATATATATGGTACATCGGCACGGATCATGTGACAGAACTGAGCCAATGAAAGCTGTCACACTTGGAGTCCATAGCCCTGTGTAAGGTATGGCGTCAATGACCCACAGCCTACGCAGAGTTTCACTTCCACTCCCAGCAGCTAAGTGGAGCAATGGGGGAGCAAAGGTCAGGTATGTACCTGTGGAGGTCTGTACTACAGTCAAATCATTCCTGGTGATCCCGCCATAAAGGTCTTTGTTCAGGTATTGATTGCTTTCAGGTGATGACGTTGCGTCCTCGTCTCCTAATTGTGCTTCTATATCGTCACTTTGTCACATGGGCTTACCAAGAAGACTACATGTGCCCCCTTAACACCCATTACCCAAGCGTTGTCACCATCAGGAAACTTGCTATGAGAAAGGCCTTACAGCCACAGCTGGAGTGCATGTAGGCAGAAAGTAGTTGTAAAGAGACGGCAGGAAATCAGCAGCAGAGATAAAAAAAAAAGATTTAAAGGATAAGTTCACCTTTGGAACATGGTACACGTTCCACCCCTTTTTAGGGTGGAACATGTAACATGTTCCCATAGCTGCAGCTGCACTTGCCAGCCCCCCCCTCTGACAGATAGTATGGGGAGAAATTTCCTCATACTATCTGTCAGATTTGAAAACAGCGGGGCTCCACCCACACAGCCATGTCATTCATTCATGGACTTCCGTGAATGAATGAACTGCAAGTCCCAGCAGCCTTAGCGGCTGGTAGTTTATTGAAGCTTCCTGTAAGTATATCTGCTTGTCCGTACATCCCGTATACCCCGTACATCCCGTATACCCCGTACATCCCGTATACCCCGTACATCCCATATACCCCGTACATCCCATATACCCCGTACATCCCGTATACCCTCTATACCCCGTACATCCCGTATACCCCGTACATCCCGTATACATCCCGTATACCCTGTATACCCCGTACATCCCGTATACCCCGTACATCCCGTATACCCCGTACATCCCGTATACCCCGTACATCCCGTACATCCCATATACCCCGTACATCCCATATACCCCCCCCGTATACCCTGTATACCCCGTACATCCCGTATACCCTGTACATCCCGTATACCCTGTATACCCCGTACATCCCGTATACCCCGTACATCCCGTACATCCCGTATACCCCGTACATCCCATATACCCCGTACATCCCGTATACCCCGTACATCCCGTATACCCTGTATACCCCGTACATCCCGTATACCCCGTACATCCCGTATACCCCGTACATCCCGTATACCCTGTATACCCCGTACATCCCGTATACCCTGTACATCCCGTATACCCTGTATACCCCGTACATCCCGTATACCCCGTACATCCGTATAACCCCGTACATCCCGTATACCCTGTATACCCCGTACATCCCGTATACCCTGTACATCCCGTATACCCTGTATACCCCGTACATCCCGTATACCCCGTACATCCCGTATACCCTGTATACCCCGTACATCCCGTATACCCTGTACATCCCGTATACCCTGTATACCCCGTACATCCCGTATACCCTGTATACCCCGTACACCCTGTATACCCCGTACATCCCGTATACCCCGTACATCCCGTATACCCTGTATACCCCGTACATCCCGTATACCCCGTACATCCCGTATACCCCGTACATCCCGTATACCCTGTATACCCCGTGCATCCCGTATACCCCGTGCATCCTGTATACCCTGTATACCCCGTACATCCCGTAAACCCCGTACATCCCGTATACCCCGTACATCCCGTATACCCCGTACATCCCGTATACCCTGTATACCCCATACATCCCGTATCCCTGTATACCCCGTACATCCCGTATACCCCGTACATCCCGTATACCCCGTACATCCGTATACCCCGTACATCCCGTATACCCCGTACATCCCGTATACCCTGTATACCCCATACATCCCGTATACCCTGTATACCCCGTACATCCCGTATACCCCGTACATCCCGTATACCCCGTACATCCCGTATACCCCGTACATCCCGTATACCCCGTACATCCCGTATACCCTGTATACTCCGTACATCCCGTATACCCCGTACATCCCGTATACCCCGTACATCCCGTATACCCCGTACATCCCATATACCTCGTACATCCCGTATACCCCGTACATCCCGTATACCCCATACATCCCATACATCCCGTATACCCCGTACATCCCGTATACCCCGTACATCCCGTATACCCCGTACATCCCGTATACCCCATACGGCAAGCATATATTCTGACAGGTCTACAGGAGACCTGCATGGCATCAATGACCTATTGATCATTGGTGCAATGCTTTCCAGGCTTCTTTGGGCAAAAATAATAAATGCATATTTTTTTACCTGTAAAATAATGTACATTTATTATTTTGTCCAAAATGTGAACGTATCTTTTAATAAAAATTTGGGTTGCAAGTATTTTATTTAAAAAAATAAAACAAAACTATGTTTTTTCTTCCCATTACCTTGCCCCCATCCTCCACCAAGGGCTGGGAATACCCACCCTTCCCAAGTTATCAACTTGCCCTGAAGTATCTTCCCATCCCTGGCACTGGCTGCTATGGTCCCTTATTGTTTTGGATTTTCCAAAAATGTGATGTATTTACAACTGTTTTCTTTTGAGATTCAGTCCCCAGCTCGGGACCTAACTGCTCAACTCTTTAGTTTGTTATCATTACTTATGAAAAATATATCGTACCAGAAAAAAACAAAAACAAACAGTGCAAGGAGAAACTTTTATGTTATTTATGACTTTATTAAAAGAAAAGATATTTGCATGTCGTCAGTCTTGCTACGAATGTAAAGAAGACGTCCGCAGTCCTGCAAACAGTATTAATAAATAACAGAGGGTGGGGAAAGATCTCAAACACTGGATTACAAAATAATTAAAAGCTAAATAAAGCAATCATGAGCGTTAATTAATAGAGGCCAGGCAATTATCTGTGGCAGAGTCCAGACATACCCGCCACATGGCGGCCTTACCCAGGTCTCCTCAATTAGCATTAATTAAAGCAGGCTGTTCAGGCCAGATCTATAAATAACAAATTGGCCCCTTGTTCTCCTGTCTGTGTGTCTGCTGTCTCCCGCTGGTGACTGGGCTGCAGATCCCCAACACCTTCATCCTGGGGTCACCGGGTCACTGAGCAGATGAAGGACACATGACCAGCAAACTGGAAGGCAATTCTCTGGCTACCTGCTGAAATTCACCAACTGACCTTCTAGTAAAGAAGGTCAGAGGTGGCTCTGAATTCTACAAGTAAATAATTCAGACTATGGACGTCACGTTCTACGACAAGAAAGTGTACACTTATTACATTCATTATATCAAACCTGGACCGGTCATCGTTTTATGTTTAGGGAGCACGCATGTGAAAAGAGGGAGCCGAGCGCTCGTCTTCCAGCATCTGAGACCTCTGGACGGCGTACAGGGGAAGCGCTGCACTGACTTGTTCCAGCTTTCATTTTCTATTACCTGCATACATGGCAGGTGCTCTGCACCACAAGGTGTAGCCCGGGTTCACATATGTGCGGTGTGGTATATCGCATGCGATTCTCACAGGAACCGCACCACACACCTGTGCAAATCACATGCGATTTGTGTGCGGTGCGATTGCAGCTGTACATTTTGTATAGAGCCATACAAAATGTACAGCTGCAATCGCACCGCACACAAATCGCATGTGTGATGTGCTTAGAGCCAAGCACATCACACCAAAAAGGTGCAGGACCCTTTTTTTGGTCTGCACTAGAATCGATCGCACACCTATGCGATCCGATTCTGCACATCGCACCGCGTTTTGCGCACTTTCGGGGGGTTGTTAACATACACACCCGCAGCGATTCAGGTTACGATTCTGGTGCGGTGCAGAATTTGCACAGAAAATGCTGAGAATTCCGCACCGCATCAGTTTGAACCCCGGCTTAAGGCTCCATTTACACTTCTGCAACTTCAAAATCGTGCGATTTTCATTCCGACTTTAAGTGCAACTTTGGTTGAATGCGACTTTGGCTTTGACCAAGGATGATTCTGCAAAGTCGCACACAAGTCACATGTATATCATTTTGGTGTGGCTTTGGAGGGCTTACATCGAAGTCTATGACCCTGCATGAAAGTCGGACCAAAGTACTGCAGGAACTAATTTGAAGTCGCACAGATATGAATGGTACTTATTAGTAAACATGGGGTGTGACTCGGGACCCCAAAGTTGCATGGCAAGTCACACAAGCCTATCTATTTATTATTATACAGGATTTATGGCGCCAACAGTTTGCTCAGCGCAATATAAAGGGAGGCAATACAGTAACAGTACAGTTCAGTACAAGAGGGTTAGGAGGGCCCGGCTCATGGAGCTACAATCTAAAGGGAGGGGGAGGTAGTACAAAAGGTGATAGCTGCACGATGATGATCTAATGGAGGAGACTGAAGTACAGTTCTTAGGTGGAGGTGGGGTCCCTGAAAGTTTTCAAAGATCACCTAAAGGCGGACATGGTGGGGGCTGATAGGACATACTGGGGTAGGGATTTCCAGAGGATGGGAGAGGCTCTGGAGAAGTCCTGGATGTGAGTGTGGGAGGAGGTGATGAGGGAGCTAGAGAGTAAGATGTCTTGGGAAGAAAGGAGTGGGCGATATCTGCAGATGAGGTTGGTGATGTAGCAGTGTTGTGGATGGCTTTGTAAGCTGTGGTTAGTATTTTTAATTTTATACATTGGGCTAGTGGAAGCCAGTGGAGGGATTAGCAGAGAGGGGTGGAGGACACTGAGCGGAGGTCTGTGAAGGGATTGGCAGAGAGGGGTGGAGGAGGACACTGAGTGGAAGGCCAGTGGAGGGATTGGCAGAGAGGGGTGGAGGACACTGAGCGGAGGTCTGTGAAGGGATTGGCAGAGAGGGGTGGAGGACACTGAGCGGAGGTCTGTGAGGGAGGGATTGGCAGAGAGGGGTGGAGACACTGAGCGGAGGCCAGTGGAGGGATTGGCAGAGAGGGGTGGAGGACACTGAGCGGAGGTCTGTGAAGGGATTGGCAGAGAGGGGTGGAGACTCTGACGAAGGGCTGTGAAGGGATTGGCAGAGAGGTGGAGGACACCGAGCAGAGGTGCTGTGAAGAGATTGGCAGAGAGGGGGTGGAGGACACTGAGCGGGAGGTCTGCGAAGGGATTGGCAGAGAGGGGTGGAGGACACCGAGCGGAGGTCTGTGAAGGGATTGGCAGAGAGGGGTGGAGGACACCGAGCGGAGGTCTGTGAAGGGATTGGCAGAGAGGGGTGGAGGACACCGAGCGGAGGTCTGTGAAGGGATTGGCAGAGAGGGGTGGGACACCGAGCGGAGGTCTGTGAAGGGATTGGCAGAGAGGGGTGGGACACCGAGCGGAGGTCTGTGAAGGGATTGGCAGAGAGGGGTGGAGGACACCGAGCAGAGGTCTGTGAAGGGATTGGCAGAGAGGGGCAGCAGTCACTGATCGGTTGGTAAGGTGTATGAGTCTAGCAGCAGCATTCATAATAGACTGAAGGGGGGATAGCCTGTGTCGCGGTAGGCCAGTGAGGAGGGAGTTGCAGTAACCAAGTCGGGATATAACCTGCAGACCAGTCAGTGTTTCTGTTTGGCCATACATCATACAGGCAAGCAGATACATTCTGACAGCAAGCCGACAGCCGCAAAGGTTTCCCGCGAGCGGGAGGAGAAGATTCCCCACAAGCTGTCAAAACAGGGGAGCGGGGGGCCGGTCCGCTCATCACATGTTACGTGTTACACCCTGCATATGTTATGAAAGGTGAACTTTTCCTTTAAGCTCACCTGCTTTTAGCAAGGATGATCTGTCACAAAAGCTTTAAAGGCCAGGGCAGAATTTGAGGTTGTGGTTCCCCTTCCTGTCAGTGGTTCGACCCTTAACCCCTCACCTACTGGGCACTTATACCCCCTTCCTGCCCAGGCCAATTTTCAGCTTTCAGCGCGGTCACACTTCGAATGACAATTGCGCGGTCATACAACATTGTACCCATATGAAATTTTTATCATTTTTTTCACACAAATAGAGTTTTCTTTTGGTGGTATGTACTCACCGCTGGATATTTTATTTTTTGCACTATAAACTAAAACAAATGAGGCAGCACTGATGGGAACTGATAGGCAGCACTGATGGGAGGCACTGATAAGGTGGCACGGAGAGGCGGCACTGATGGGCACGGATAGGTGGCACTGATGAGGTGGAACGGATATGCGGCACTGATAGGCAACACTGATGAGCTGGCACTGATATGCAACAATGATGGGCACTGATAGGCAGCACTGATGGGCACTGATAAGTAGCACTGATAGGTGGCACTGATGAGGTGGCACAGATAGGTGGCATTGATGAGGAAGCATTGTATCACCTGCTGAAGACCTGATTTAACCCCTTGAACCCCACAATAGTTCACAGGATCCGTGTGCAATGCATGCAGTTGTGGGGCACTTGCAGAGTGGCCCTATCCACTTGAATGGGTTGTACTAGCGTCAGGGGGTGTAATTCTTGCTGCAGCATGTGTACACCCCTGGCCACTGCAGCTACAAGGGGAGCCACTGCAGAGTGATAAAAACACTACTCAACCACAGGGGTTTATCGCCCCTCAACTGCTAACCGCTAAGACAGACCAACGCTCCCCTTTCCTGAGCAGCACCCAATCGGTGCTCATTACACTGCAAGGTCTCTCCCCTCCCTGCTAGTCCCCGGGTGCGGTGCTGAAGACAGTCAGGGAGGTGAGGAGGAGATATACAGCGCAATGGTATTACTTATTTAAATATGGTTTGGGTTAAAAAAAAAAAAATTTCAGGACAAGTAGATTGTCATGAGGGACAAGTAGATTGGGACCCCAATTTAGTCCCTAGGACATGTAGTTTTTTTTTTTACATTTCCACACCCCTGTACTTGTTGCCCGGATTTGCTTCCTAATGAAACCACAAGTATAACATTAACACATTTGTCTTTCCTGCCTCTCCTCAGACTGGACCAACCTATCTAATTATTGAAGCAACTGGAAAGCATCCTTTGTAAAGCAGGGAATGTTTTTCTAGGGCTTCTGGTAAAAATGAGGCAACATCCTGCCAGCCACCTCCAGTTTCTAATCAGGGATGAACAATGGTGTATTTTGTTTGGTCACAGAAGGTCAGGCCCAGAGAGAGAAGCGGTGATGCGGAGTGACCTCAGAAGTCTTATCTGCTGGCAGGACTGGACAGGCATCTGTGTTCAGAATGGCAACCTCTAACCGCTGTCAGGGCCCCGGCCAGCCTGCTCACCCCCTGAGGTCCGTGATGATGGACAGGGACACAAATCAATTATTACACTGAGGAGGACGCTGCACTGTGTCATGGTAAAGTGTGTAGTCGTAGGACGGTAGGACTTCGCGGCTACACAATGCCCACCCTACCTGTCCAGTATCTGTATCCTCTCCCCGTGTGTATCCGGGTTTCATCAGCTGAAAGCATACTGGTCTATTGAAGCTGAGCTCCAGGCAAACGGCCAAACACAGAAATGAAAAACATATAAAGGAGATGTTTTACCTGCCAAAAAACTTCTATTTTTGTTTATGCAGTCCTGAGATTTACACAGCTCTGTCACACAGCACCATCCTATAAAGCAGGATAGGAGACCTGATTTTTCTGTTGGGTGGTAGGCCGGGGGGCAGTAAAAATAGGCAGTTGATCTTTGGAGCCTCCTGACCACCAACCTACAAGTGGATAAGGCAGCCGAGATGCTTGGTTCGGCAGGCGCAGCAAAATGAAATCAACTTGCTGAGTTTGACAGGCGGCTCTGCCTGTCACACTCGCTCACTGAGGTCAACGGGACCGCGCCGCGACCGCAGGTCAAACGCTTGGCTCATGTGTGCAGCGCAGCATTTCATTACAGAAATTATCCTCTGAACTGCAAAAAAAAACAGCCAAATAAAAAACAAAAAACAACAAATGCATTCAGGAGGTGACAGGATTGCCTTCTGAATGCCTGTAAAAGGCTATTCTACTGCCCCCTGAAAAGTGATCCACCGAAGGTCAGGTCAGGTCATGTCCCTCCTCCATCCCCTTACTGGACAGTGAAAGGAGAAGCAACAGACTAAGGCAGGCCATAGACGGGCCGTTTATCGGCCGAATTGTCGGCTGATAAATGAAAAATCGGTCAGTGCCGTTGCCGATGCTGCCACCATCGTCCGCGAAAAAAACGGCTGTTTTTCGTAGATTTTCCCGCATGACCGATAAAAGTAAACGAGACGATCCATGAAAAATGGCCAATGGGCGGGCCCCACTAATGGCATGAATAGATAAACGACCCGTCTATGCCCTGCATAAGGAGCTCATCTCTCTGCTCTCTCCTCCTATCAGCTCCACCCTCATTAGCACATTAAAACTGCAGGATACGTAACTAGCCGCCTGCGCTGTTCTTCCTCCCCCAGCACGAGCCCTGCTAGCTGTAGAGGGACTGCAAAAGGCTGATACCAAGTCAAATTCAGATACTTGCACTGCTTGTATTAAATAAAAAAGACTTAGAATTATGTATCAATGAATATTGAGCTGCATTCTTTTCTGTCTTTTGTATCTTCTTGGAGTTCAGATGTGATCATTTTTTTTTCTCAAATTGTCCCCATCTGGGTATGGTGAATGTGGTAGAGACATCAGACTGCCACAGACATAAAATCTGACGGTTCTGAATCAATCAGATCTGCAGGCTGGAGCGAGGAGCTGCATCACATGCATCCATCCCAATAACCTGCTAATGAAGGGGGTGGAGGATAGCACAGAATTCAGGAAACAGAAGGCCAATTTGAGGGATCAGTACACTTTATAAAAGACTCCTATGTATCCATTCACCATCACCCTAACAGCCAACTCCTTCACTGTAACGCCGTGTTCCTTGCTTTGTGCTTTAGATGAACTCCAGGCCGATAGAACAGACAACATGAACGCAGGCATGTATTCTTTAAAGTCATTCTAAAGGCTTTTATTTTTTTAACCGCCTTTTGCCCACCATATAAGGAAATGACGGACTGGCGGGGTTCTCTCGTTCTGGGAGGACGTCACAGGACGTCCTCCCACTCTAACTGCGCATGCGCGCCCTGGCGAGCGGTGGTGCGCTGTGTCCCTGTCTCACAGCGGATCACTGATCACAGTAAAGAGCCGATGACGTCGGCTCTGTCATGTGATCAGCTGTGTCCAATCACAGTTGATCGCATGTAAACAAGGAAATATCAGTTATCGGCAGTCCTCTCCTCACGCGTGTAAGGAGAGGTGAGCTGGTAATCGGCATTCCTCAGAGGGGACATGTACACTGATCATCAGTGCCTTGATGATCAGTGTAGCCCCATCAGTGCCACCTGTCAGTGCCCATCAATGCCGCCCATCAGTGCCACCTGTCAGTTCCCATCAATGCCACTTACCAGTGGCAATCAGTGCAACCTGTCAGTGCCCATCAATGACACCTTTCAATGCCCATCAATGCTACCTGTCAGTGCCCATCAATGACACCTTTCAGTGTCCATCAATGCCACCTGTCAGTGCCCATCAATGACACCTTTCAGTGCCCATCAATGCCACCTGTCAGTACCCATCAATGCCACCTACCAGTGCCCATCAGTGCCACCTGTCAGTGCCCATCAATGACACCTACCAGTGCCACCTGTCAGTGCCCATCAATGACACCTTTCAATGGCCATCAATGCCACCTGTCAGTGCCCATCAATGACACCTACCAATGCCCATCAGTGCCACCTGTCAGTGCCCATCAATGCCACCTGTCAGTGCCCATCAATGACACCTTTCAATGCCCATCAACGCCACCTGTCAGTGCCCATCAATGACACCTACCAATGCCCATCAGTGCCACCTGTCAGTGCCCATCAATGCCACCTGTCAGTGCCCATCAATGACACCTTTCAATGCCCATCAACGCCACCTGTCAGTGCCCATCAATGACACCTTTCAGTGCCCATCAATGCCACCAGTCAGTGCCCATCAATGCCACCTACCAGTGCCCATTAATGACACCTTTCAATGCCCATCAATGCCACCTGTCAGTGCCCATCAATGCCACCTACCAGTGCCCATCAAAGTCACTGCCATGTTGTAAAGCGCAGTGCAAACTGTTGGTGCTATATAAATGCTGTATAATAATAATATTATATCATTAACTTTCTGTCCCCATTTATATATCCTTGTTGCAAGGTTCTTCCAGTCAGTCACAGATGTCATGGGTCCCCCCCTCTTCTGGTATGGCAGTGTGGGAGACACAAAAGCACTCCACTAGTGATCTGTGCAACAGAACTCACACAGGCTGACACGGTATCTCAGCCCCATGACAACCTGGGCTCACCGGAAGTGGTTTCAATGGAGTGGAGAGTCTGCAGGGGTCAGCACTGTGAAAATAGTGAGTATTGCAGCAATTTTTTTTTTTTCTAACACCTGCTGAGCAATTGATTTTTTTTTTTTTTTATTGAAGTGGAGCTGAGCTTTAGAAAACAAACCATACATCAACACTGTAGGGATGTGTTGCAGATTCCTGTAAGGTACATAATGCAATCCATAACACTGCACAGCATGCAATAAAATGCCAGAGAACAGCGTGCAATAATTCAGTACGCCGTGTTCCCTATTAGACTGTAAACGCGTGCTGATGTATAGAAATGGACGGCGACCAAAAAAGGCGTCTGCCTTTGATTTTCCGCGAGGTATGTATATGGTCGCTATGTAAACAGATGATGCAGGCCCCCGCTTTATTAGTAATTAACGATTTGTCCCCGTTTCCCCCGTACTGAGGCATAGCGTCTTCATTCTTCTGTCTAGTACGCGAGTTTACATTTTTATATAAAATGATTTGGCAGGAAAACAAGGAAATGATGACGGGGGCCAAGCCGATGACATAGCTCGGGTTAGCCGGTAAAGCCGAAGAGCAAAATATTTTTCCAAGATATCGCTTAGATGGGGCTCACCCCCATAAGTCAAGTCTGTGCCCTGCCAGGCTGCAGAAGAAACAGGGGGCCGATTATATTCCTGGCCTGTGGGAGGCAAGGGACCTGCACAAGCCGATAAGTAGACACTGAGCCACTAATTCTGCATCATTAAAAAAGCATTTGATGGAGAGAAAAAACAACATTGCCATGTGGAATATTTAAGGAATTCCTAAACCAACACAAGGCTCCTCTTACACAGAGACTAGCTGTCTACCAAACATTAGCAAATGGAAATTTGGCTTTTTTTTTTTTTTTTTTTCAGCACTAGGTGCCTGGTGGAATCTGAAAATATTGTGGGCTGTATCTTTAGGGTCTTTTTTTTTTTTTTTTTTGTTTGGAAAGGCCGGTGAGGGTCTGGGTGGCTTTCATAAAAGCCCCCCTTGTCCTCCTTAAATTCGGTGTAAGGTCTGCGACCTTTACACCCTTCCCGGTGGGAGAGGAGGCGCACAGCTCCCGGGTCTGGGGCCTTTAACACGGCTTAGGCTCACTACAAGGAATTGGGACACAGCGGGGAACTAATCTGATGGACCCAACATGTAAAAGACGTTGTCAGTTCATTTCAGGCTTTCAGGACATCAGTGTATTTTTACAAGAAGGCCAATATTCCGCAACACGTTCTGAAGGGGGAGATTCAGCTACTCATAAAACGGGTTATAAACACTGTGCAGAAATGTGAGGAGTTGCTCAATCTACAGTCCACATAACGCCAGAGAGTCCAAAACAATCATAATGAGAAATAAAAAAAATCACAAACTGATGCCAGATTATAAACCTGTGTTTACCGCCCACTATTAGGGCCAATTCACACCACATGATGTTCAGTGCGTTTTTTTTTCTGCATCAAACATACATGCACAGTGTTTTCCATGTATTCCAATGGCCTTAGTTCACACCAGGGGTGGACGGACAACTCATGGGGCCCCCGGGCAATAGGGGATCATAGGGCCCCTGCGTCCTTGCCCAAACTCAAAAAAGCCTATGAAAAAGGTACCAGGAGCATCTCATGGGGCCCCCTACTGACCCCGGGCCCTCAATAGGGGATCATGGGGCCTCTGTGTCCTTGCCAAAACTCAAAAAAGCCTATGAAAAAGGTACCAGGAGCATCTCATGGGGCCCCCTACTGACCCCGGGCCCTCAATAGGGGATCATGGGGCCCCTGTGTCCTTGCCCAAACTCAAAAAATCCTATGAAAAATGTACCAGAGCATCTCATGGGGCCCCCTACTGACCCCGGGTCCTCGGACAGTGCCCGAGTTTCCAAAGGGTCAGTCCGCCCTTGATTCACACCAGTGCAGTCAGTTCCAGGTGCAGAAAAATAAGTAGAACATGCTGCATTGTTTCTGCACAGAACTGTACTGGAACATGGCAATCTCTTAGATTGTAAGCTCCCAGGATCAGGGCCTCCTATCCCTCTTGTATTGAACTGTATTGTTGCTGTATTGTCTCCCGTTATATTGTAAAGCTCTGAGCAAACTGTTGGCGCCATAAATCCTGTATAATAATAATAATATAAATCCTGTATAATAATAATAATAACTGTATGAAAACTGCATCGGAACGGAGTGTGGTGTGATCTGTAAGCAAAAATGTATCTGGAATGCATCCAGAGTGCGTTTTGTGGTGTGAACTGGCTCTTAAAGTATAACTAAAAGCAAAACTTTTTTTTTTTTTTTAGTTTTGGATGGAGTGGAGAGGGATTAGAACCCCCTGTCAGTGTTTATTGCTGTCTTTGCCTCTTTTAACCACTTGCCTACTGGGTAACTATACCCCCTTCCTGCCCAGGCCAGCTTTCAGCGCTGTCACACTTTGAATGAAAATTGCGCGGTCATGCAACACTGTACATACATGAAATTTTTTTAAAAATTTTCACATAAATAAAGCTTTCTTTTGATGGTATGTAATCGCCGTTGGGGGTTTTATTTTTTGCACTATAAACAAAAAAAAAGCAAAAAATTACAAAAAAAAGTTTTTCTTTGTTTCTATTATAAAAGTTTACAAACAGGTAATTTTTCTCCTTCACTGATGTGTGTTGATGAGGCGGCACTGATAGGCAACGCTGATGGGCACTGATAGGTAACGCTGATGGGCACTGATGGACAGAACTGATAGGCACTGATGCCGGCTGTCAAAGTACAATAGTCAGCTGTGGCTGCCAGCTGTCAAAATACAACAGCAAGCTGCGGATGTCGGCTGTCAAAATACAACAGCAAGCTGCGGATGTCGGCTGTCAAAATACAACAGCAAGCTGCGGATGTCGGCTGTCAAAATACAACAGCAAGCTGCGGATGCCGGCTGTCAAAATACAACAGCAAGCTGCAGCTGCTGACTTTCAGCTAACCTGGCTGATCACATCAAATTATTACGCATAGCCACCGCTACTTATTGCACGTAAAATTGGCCAAATTTCCATTTATTTGTACTGCAATCTCAAAATGTATGCAGAGCATAACTTTTATCCTACTTATTCATAAGAAAATGGACCCCCTGGAACCCCCCTGCCCCCCTCTCAGTGGACATTATTCAGGGACAAACAGCTGGAATGTTACCTAATGGATGGGAGAGCACATGAAAGAGGATACTGGTGATGGGGAACAGAGAGAAGAGGGGTGAAGTGCCTTATCATATAAGGATGACAGGGACACGGCTCCTTTCTAATCTGCGCCGTATTACCAGGTGATCGGGATGGAAGGATTCGGCTCACATTAGAAAGTCAAAACTCACAAATACATGTGTTTCAAACTAAGCTCTGTCAGCTCAGTTCAAGGTCGATGCCCACATCCCCGTAGCCCTATCACCAGCAACACGTCTCCGTTCCTTTCATTTCCATGCCAAGTGGATCCAGATGGATGGTCATGCAATGACTTGGCAGCGGGAGGATCATGGTTACATGCAATCACTCAGGTTAGCGGGTGGAAGTATGGCCTCCCGCTGCACCATATAATGATGCTAAGTATTGCCATTTGTGTGCTGCACTGTACAGTAACCTCCTCTACAGATGAACAAGCAGATCCACACTGAATTCTGTGGCATCAAACGTCACTGTATATATTGTTGTGGGCAATATTGTTCTACGGTCGCTGTGAAGCCCACCTGATGATGTGCAGCAGCATTAGAGACCGCGGGAAATGTACCTGCGACCCTCCACCTGCACCCAAGACTCTGAGTTCCCCCCATCCCGGGTCAGGTGTACACCCGCTGTGTCCATTATGAGGGGTCCCCACCATCCCTGTGCTGAGTTCCCAGGTCTGTATACCCGCTGTGTCCATTATGAGGGGTCCCCACCATCCCTGTGCTGAGTTCCCGGGTCTGTACACCCTGTGCTGTGTCCATTATGAGTTCCCGGGTCTGGGGTCCCCAACATCCCTGTGCTGAGTTCCCGGGTCTGTATACCCGCTGTGTCCATTATGAGGGGTTCCCACCATCCGTGTGCTGAGTTCCCGGGTCTGTACACCTGCTGTGATGAGGGGTTCTCACTATCCCTGATGGATATGTAACTTGTTACAATAGGGAGATAGTAGCAGGATGAAATAGAACTAGTGGGTTTCTAGAGGACTTTTTTCGCTGTTAAAATGCTCTAATGCTGGTAAACGCGGTAAAATACAGCAAACCAGAGTTTTTTTGAGCCAAACTGGGTTTTTTTTGTGTAAAAAAACACTAAAACCGCAAACGCGGTCTATAAGTTAATGCAAATATGCAAAAAAAAGCAGAAAAACTCGTGTCTTTAACGTGACTTTATACAGGTAACGCTACTAGCATTTTTTAACGCCCTGTGGATGAGGAATGAATGTGAAGGGTCTTGGTGACTCGAGGTCAGTGAAGGTGTAGGAGCGAACTACTGTAAACCAGCTATTCAAATTTTAACTTTTTATTTACTCAATTATCTGCAAAACTAACCAACGCGTTTCGGGGTCCCAGGGCAGATTTTATGGATAACTGAGCAAACAAAAAGTCACAATTGGATTAGTTTGTCCCCAAATCCTTTCATTCTGTCACTCGTACATCTTCAGTTACTAAGAAATTCCAGTGTAAATATAATGTTGAAGAGAAAGCGCCGGACGACAACTTTCTGGAAGTCAGTATTTTCGCAACTCAAAAGAACACTCCCATCCCTACACCTGACAGGTGCTCAAACACTCAGCTTGCTTTTTTCCCCACTGTCCTCATTTATTGAAGTTTTGGGTTTCTGGAGTATTCCGATGGTACACCCCTGGGGTCTAAAGAATGACCCCAACCTCCACCCCCCCCCCCCCCACCTGACTCAGACACTGAGAAAAGAAGGGCCATGGCCATTGTCCTCATTTCTGGAAGTTTAGGTTTTTAGGAAATCTATTGGCGCACCCCTGGGGTCTAAAGAATGCCCCAACTCTCCCCCCATCTGACTCAGACACTGAGAAAAGAAGGGCCATGGCCATTGTCCTCATTTCTGGAAGTTTAGGTTTTTGGGAAATCTAACGCACACCCCTGGGGTCTAAAGGATACCCCAACTCCCCCACCTGACTCAGACACTGAGCAAAGGAGGGCCATGCCCATTGTCATTTCTAGAAGTTTAGGTTTTTTGAAATCTAATGGCGCACCCCCGGAGTCTAAAGAATACCCCAACTCTCCCCCCATCTCACTCAGACATTGAGAAAAGAAGGGCCATGGCCATTGTCCTCATTTCTGGAAGTTTAGGTTTTTGGGAAATCTAATGGCGCACCCCTGGCGTCTAAAGAATAACCCAACCTCCACCCCCACCTGATTCAGACCCTGAGCAAAGGAGGGCCGTGCTCATTGTCCTCATTTCTGGAAGTTTAGGTTTTTTAGGAAGTCTGATGGTGCACCCATGGAGGTACAGCAAGCCTGTAAAATCAACAACTGCTATGGGTAAGCTATTTGAGAAGACTGACCCAAACAGGAAAGATTCCAGAGAAGATAAAATCTGACAATCGTGAATTTCCAGTAATAACAATCTGGGTCTTTCGCTTTATGAAATTGGGATTCCAATCAAGGTTTTTTTTTTTTAAATAAATGATTAACTGTCATAACACGACACCAAACGTATTTCCAGTTTTTTCTGTTCCAGCGTTACGTTCATTACTCACGCTCTGTGAATTACACTATGACATTGTTGTTCTTTGTTTGCCTTAATAGAATAAAAAAAAAAAAAAAATGTAAGCATTAGAAAGTCAAACTTCAATTCCCCTATGAATCTTATCACATCGTCAGCGGTTAGAATTAGGTATAACCTTACTCATGCACTCACCCCGACTGCTTCTCCAGTTCTCCGTGTTACTGCATGGAGTGATCATAATCAGCCCCTTTGACTGAATCCAAAAACAAATGGCACTTTATAGCCCTGCAGACTGAAGTGGTGCACGGTGCCGGATTCCTGAGCAGACCTGCTCCCCAAACAGAGAGTCCAGTGACATCCAGAAGAAGGCAGGCAGCGCAGTGCGGGTAACGGAGCTGAACTGTGTGTACACTGGCAGGTGAGACCACCGAGGGAAGATTGGGGAAAGATAAGAGGTCTGTAGGACAGGCAAAGGCCTCAACAGTTTACTGTTCTCTGACCTCGATCGTCGCAACTAGCGCTGGCTGTGCATTGGCTGATTATTTACAGAAATCGATATTAATTCAACAAGTGTGAACCAGAACCACGTTATTCCGATTATCAAAACAAGTACGGCTAAAAGCCACAGAATCCCATACATATACAGTGAACTACACCTAAGTATACAGTATCTAAAGCCTACATTTGTTTCCTTTTTTTTGTTTTGGCTATAGTATGGAAGGGCTAGCACCCCTGTCAGTTTTCGTTCTTTAAATCTCCTATTAGAGAGTTTTCACCATTAATTCATAGAAAAGACATAGAAAAGTGACGGCACAAACAGACTGAGTGGTCCATCGAGTACTGCCAGGTGGAAGTGCTAATCATTTAGCCACTGTGCTGCCCTATGCTGGCTCCTTCAACATCCAACCCCCTGGTTATAATAACGGGGATTAAAAGAATGGAGGGACCTGTAACAGGATTAAAAGAATGGAGGGACCTGTGACAGGCACTCATCAAGATTACCCAACTAGGACCTCTCTTTCCACCCACCTCCTCCATTCACAGAAGCCATACTACAGCTTCCATGAATAAAACATGACCTACGAATGGAGGGGGCAGACCTTTCTATCATCCACCCATCCTTCATTCTCAGCTCCTGTTTCATTTCTAGAGGCTGTAGTACAGCTTCTAGAAATGGTGGAGCTGGGTGGAAAAGGCAGGCATAGTTGGACACTCTTGATGAATGCCTGTCACAACTTCCACCATTCTAGCAACCCCCTCCGCACTGT